ATTAACATATTCATAATGCTCATTGTTGTCGTGATATATAAGTAGATTATGTTGTGATATAACTATGAAGTGGCACCTAGATATTTGAAATCAGCAAGGAATGTCATTATAAACAGACCAGCTGGGACTGGGATGAATCACAATGTATGTGGAGAGGTGGAAAGGGGTTATATATTGCACTCGCAATAGCACATCAACGCTGCCACAGTGAGGTGCTACTTTCAAACTCAAATCAAACGGTTAGCTCATCGGCTCAAATAGACACCTCCAATATACACAATACCGACCATAATACTTTCAACACTTCCCTCGCCAACACCATCATCGACATAACAAATAAATGCATACCCACCTCTCGGATCACCCCCGCACAAAAAAAACAGTCCCATGGTGGAGCCCCGAAATTATTAATGCCAGAAAGGCAAGAAAAAAGGCCCTATCTAAGAGGGACCGTTCACAAAATTACATTTGGCTAAAAGACTCAGAAATAATACTAAACAAATCATCAGGGCAGCAAAAAAGGAACACTGGAGAAAATTTTGCTCAACCCTGAGGCTAAACAATCACAACTCACGGAAAATGTGGAACAAATTTAGAGCTATTCAGGGAAATTCCAAAAGAATTATTCAACCAAACCTCCCTACAAACTTTAAAGCTAACGCAGTTGCTGCCCACTTCTCGGAAACCAGATGCTCCACCAACTACCCACAACACTTCCAAAACCCCCAGTAACACTTATCATCCCGCTTCACTCCAACAGAAAATACTCACTACACCAGCTTACGTCATGCAACCGCCCCAAGCCCATATACCCTACAACGCATCCCTAACACTACAAGCAAAACCACGTCGTCTGCTCCAGGAGGAGATGACATAACTTACATACTTCTAAAACAGCTCACCTTACACGGCAAAACGCTACTGCTAAATCTACTTAACACAATCTGGTACATCTCACAAATTCCTACTACGTGGAAACAAGCACTTGTCATTCCAATAAGGAAACCAAACAAACCACCACAGATCTCAGACTCATATAGACCCATATCACTCACATCAAACATATGCAAAATCATGGAAACAATCATCCAAAAAAGACTTCAACATCACATAAACACAAACAATCTCATACATGCAGACCAGAGCGGGTTCACGCCAAACAGAACAACCCTAGATCACATCATCCGAATAGAGCACGACATCAGAGTAGCCCAGGCAAACAAACACTACCTTCTGGACATATTTATCGACTTTTCCAAAGCCTATGACATGATTTGGAATGGCGGGCTAATAACAAAATTGATGCGTAAAAATATAAAATGCGTATGCTAAACTTTATACACAACTTCCTGAACAATCGCACTATAACTGTAAAAGTAAACAATGCACTCTCAGATCCGCACCACATCAAAATGGCACACCCCAAGGTAGTGTCTTATCTCCAACACTCTTTAATCTTATGATCGACGACATATTTACTGACATCCGCTCAACAATCAAAACAGCCAAATTTGCAGACGATGCATCCCTTTGGACATCACATAAAACACTAGGCACAGCCCAGGAACACATCCAACAAGCACTAAATGATATCGACAAATGGGCAAATACATGGGGTTTCAAAATCAACACTGACAAAACAGTAGCTTTACTCTTCAAAACACCCTATATGCAAAACTATTCACCATCCCTTATGTTAAACAACATCCAAATTAACTACAGCACACAAACAAAATTCCTTGGCCTAATACTAACACCTAACATAGACACCCCATATCAAGCACATCATCACCAAATGCAACCAAGATCTCAACCTAATGCGAAGCATACGAGGTACAAGCTGGGGAGCAGACCAACTCACGCTTCTCACTGTCTATAAAACACTTATACGACCCAAGCTGGAATACGCTGCACCTGCATACGACGCACTGACACAAAAAGACTCCAAGCAGCTAGACTCAATACAATACAAGGCACTAACAATCTCACTAGGCACAGACTGCACTTACGTCTCTCGAGAAATAGCCCTTCCCCTTAAACGCCAACAAATTACACTCAACTATTGGGCTAACGCATGCACAAACCCATTACTTAACAATCTCATAACCACAACTGAAAATCTACCACCAAGACAGAAAGTCAAGCTGATTAAAAAAAGACGAAGACTCCCATACACTATTCGACTAAACAACCTTCTGAAAGCATACAAGCTTAGAAACATAAAACTCACCCCAGTCATACATGACTACACTTAATGCCTCCCACCTCCTCACATGGACACTGCTCTCACAAACGTCACAAAAATATCAACAAACAAAAATCAACAAAAAATACTGGTAATGGATTACATACAACAACACTGGCCAGACTGGACACACATCTACACAGACGGATCACACAACCCGGAAAACCACATAGTAGCATTCGCAATACACACAACACAACCAGACATAACTACAACATCAGCACGCATCCCAAACAATCTTTCTATATATACCGCAGAAAAAACGGCAATATATCTAGCCTTCAAAATGGCAGAAACAACTAATCACAACAAACTCCTAATCATCACAGACTCGCTCAGTGCAATACAATCTATTAGAAATAGAAATTACACAAACAGACCAAACCTACTACATCGAATACTGCACTCAACCAGCACACTAACAAATCAAAATAAACAAATCAACATAGCATGGGTACAAAACGAATGTCGATTTCCGAAAGTGATCTGGATTTTTATAGCCAGACAGTGCATGCTCTTTGCTGCACAATTTCAACTGGAAGGTGATTTCTGTTGCGTTGTGGCTATGATTTTTTAATCCTTGTAAGAAATCTCATCAAAATCAACATTTTCGGGTAAAGTCGATTTTTGACTTGTACAGTTGTGTAAAATCATGTTATCAAACTTTTGTTACATATTTAGATTGTTTGAACACAACAGGTAATTAATAGATTTAAAAAAAAAGATAAAATGCCTATGCGTTACTTTTTGGGGATACTATAGCTTCCCCAAAGGCACGACGTCAGAGTAATTCCCCTATAGTTTCCTGTATTTTCCTTTTTACCTTTATAAATGGGTATGACCATATCAAGTCTATGGTCAAAGGGCTCATAGCGAAATATAATCATTTTGTTAAACAGGTCACCAACGTGCGAAGAGGGACACTGCCCCCAGAGGATAATGTGCTCATTTGTAATGTTATTGGCTTTCAGCAACCCATACTGGGCTCGCTGACTTGGTTGACATGTGTCATCGTACCCTAAATGCCTAGATCGATGCTCATGCTGTTGATCACTGGATTTCCTGGTCCAGACTCGATTATTTCCATTCCGCACAACAACAACACTTCGTAAAACGGGCTATAGATCGCCTGCAACTGAAGGTAGATCACCATGCTAGGGACCATGGGGACTTACAGTACTTTGGCTACCTGCGTGGACCCTAGCTGGATGTATACCATCCCTTCAGCCACTGACGATGGTCCTGAGATTTAGCCATTGCATAAAACAACAAATATTATATACAGTTAAAAGTTTGGCAGATTGAAATTTACTTCGAAAGTTGCGACTTGCAGTAACAACACAAATCGACTTAAGCGGAAAACGGATGTAGCCTATAATTCACTTCTTCAAAAGCTTGACTGACTGACTGAGTTTGTTTTTACGCCGCTTTTAGCAATATTCCAGCAACATCACGACGGGGGACTCCAGAAATGGGCTTCACACATTGTACCCATGTGGGGATTCGAACCCGGGTCTACAGCGTGACGAGCCAACGCTTTAACCACTAGGCTACCCCACCGCCCCTCGAGAGCTTGAACATGATGTCAACATAAACAAGAGGCACGTCACTCTGAGGTGGACACAGATCTAAGCGATTTGATTGGCCGAGAACTTGCGACTTGTAGCAATGAGGACAAATCCTATGTCTTATAACTCAACTGCGACTAGTTGTATGCTATTTCAAATCGTTACGATTTTGGTGTTGCAACTATGTTGCATGCTACAAGTTGTACTACAAATCGCACCTTGAGAACACCTTCACGCTCCATCACCAATTCTGCAGCAATAAGTTTCTTCTGTATTACAATATAGTCAGCATAATAACAACAGTGATGTGTGAAATCACTTAACGCTCAGGCAAAGATCACACTCAAGGGTAAAACCAGACTATTTTTTTAAATATAGTAAAATAAAGTTTTTAGAAACTAAAGACAAACGTTCAGATAAGGTATGAATATGATATAGAACGTCATCTGATAGGAGCAAAACACATTCAAGTAAAATGTGCTTCATTGTTATTTGACTGTTGCATGAAATTTAAAAAAGTACAGCGTCCCCTTGAAATAAAAAAGAATGGTATAATACTGGTAAAGAAACCTGCCATCGAAGGACAGAATAACATCTCTCAGTATATCATAGATTGGTTACAAACTAGTAGAACATTAAAAATATGTCTGACTAATTGGTAACGATACCTTTAAGAAACGGGCAACAGATCGCCAGCCACTGAAGATAGATCACCATACTAGGGATTTGTATTCCAAATGAGTTTATATACCTACTACATGTATATAGTTTACGTTCTTATTATTATATTAGAATAAAAACTATGCAATATCAAACTCTGGAATAATTTCAATTGCTGATATATAATTATATATTTACGACACAACAAGAAGTCATTTTGTTTAGAAGGTAAACCGAATAGGTTCTGAAAAGCAGTAAAAATAGTAAGCATGCATTGGTATTCCCTTGCATTGCCACATGCTCATTGTCTGCACTCCAAAACAACCACGCAGCTGCTCCATTTCAATCGCTTGAGGCGATCGCGCATTTATCAATTGACTTATAGTCACAACAATAACAGTGGGCGTGGTACAGGTAGCACCATAAGGCAAAATGATATGGCATCCAATGGATTGGTGGCAGTAAGACTGCCCATTACTGATCCTAAATAAATATAAGAAAATTTGCACGTTCACATATCAAAGACAAGAAAACAAGCTTTCTGTTGTTGTGTCTTCTGGTATTTGTCACAGTAAATTCACAAAGAAGCACAATTAGCAATGAGATACATCATTCTAGCCCTGGTGGTCTTCATGGTACTGGTTGACCAAACCGACGGCCTAAGTTGCATTCAATGCAATTCTCGGAAATGTGCAAAGCCAAAGGGATGCCGAAGAAGGCACTACGTGAAAGACCTTTGCGGGTGTTGTGATGTATGTGCTACTAAATTCGGACAACCTTGCTCTGGATTGAAACCAAGGTACGTTCTTCACATGATTTTACTGACGTACAGGAAACATTTATCACGTGGAAATATTAATTATCATATTTTAACATTGTTTTTAATGTTACCGGATAATGGTGTGTGTATTGTATTGGAAATTTTCAAGGGGTTCATGTGTGAGTGGGTCAAAGTTTAAAATCTGCAGAATGTCAGCAATATCGTGACTATTAAAGGTATAAATTATCAAAAACAAACCTAGATTGCATAAATCTGTCGACATAGAACAGTACAATAACTAACCTATAACATATTTCTAGTAAAAACGTGTATCCATAATAAGGTGTTACTATGCACAATAATACAATATAAACATGGGCTATATGTCGGCAGCAACTGAAGGTGGATGGCCATATTGGAGACTATGTGCCTCCCAGCTATTTTGGGATGAACTCATTGTAGAATTAACAGTATTAAACCCTTCTTTACACCTGAATCCACGTGGCCAAACCAAAGACAACACAATACAATCAACATAAATATAACCAACAAAACACTTTCCATAATCATACATGATAATTATATAATAATAAAGAAAGAAATCAAAAAAGGTCAGTGCTAAACAAGGTCCATTCTTCTAAAACATTTCTATTGCTGTTGGATAAAAACGGAACTGTACGATTTATACCCTAGTATAAATATAAGCTTCTGTTTATGAATAAATATCTTAAATGTTGTAATGTGAAATTACGTACATTCACGATTTCGTACATTTGAAATCGTACATATACAGCAACATGCAACCAGGGCTTTCATTTACCAAACCATCATACTTTTCTTCCAAACAGGTGCGCAAAGAATATGTGGTGTATCAAGATAGATGGGAATTCCGCCGAGGCCAAGAAAAATTTAGCCTGGCATGATCGATTCACCGGCGTATGTGGAAGAATTAGACTCCCCAGACAGTTTTGACCTGATGTTAAAGTAAGTCCTCAAATCATCTATGTTTCCATTTCTCAAGCTATTTCCAACAATATCAAAGTAATACTATTATTCTTACTTTCCTCAAATGAAACCACAAGCACAGGGAATAATCAATCTCGAATATCCGCCGAAAATATTCCTCCGTAAAAGGCAAAATTGAGGAAACTTAAATGAATTCATCACAAGGGCGATTTCTGCCCAAACATTAGTGCCTGCCACTCAGAATTTGCCTAAAAACGTAAGAGTTTATTTGTTGCTTAACATGCACCACAGAAGTACTGAAACAGTTGGGACCAAGGTTAGAATTAATCTTCAGTAACCCATGCTTGTCGTAAGAGGCGACTAACGGGATCGGGTGGTCAGGCTCACTGACTTGGTTGACACATGTTATCGGTTCCCAGTTGATGGATGACGACGTCATTAGCATTAGCATACAATTCATTGACGCCATTTAGCGTCAGCAAGAAATTGTCGAGACCTCTGACATGAAATTGATTTGGTTTATTGCTAAACATCGCACTCAGCAATATTCAGACTTTTCGGTGGCGATATGTACATAATCTAGTCTGAAGCAATCATTTTAGTGATTGACATGTCCATCGATGTACGCAGTCGGGATATGATGACATGTTTCAACCCAAGTCATCGAGTCTGACCATCCGATCCCGACCGTCGCCTCCTAAGGTAAGCATAATTAAACGTTGTAACATACCTTTTTTTGTATTGTTTCCAGGTTGAATCCAGGCCTTGGACAATATGAAAGGTTCATCGTACGAAGTACACAGCATACTTTGTCATATATACTGAACAAACATATTTAATAAAGTCTTTCTGAACATCAACAAGATTGTGTTTTGTCCATCTTTCTGTTTACTACAGATCCGTGTGTACATACACACATTTTCAAACAAGTTTTGGCGATACATTATTATCGGTGGATGGAGGCAACGTGAAGGGAAGTAACTCTAAGTTTGTTTTCCGATACAAGGAAGTGGGCCCACATTCGAAAATAAAGCAGCTATGTATTACTAAACAAGTATAATCAGGTATTGCTAAGAAAATAAATTCAAAACGTTGTGTATTTCTTGAAATAAACGACTGATGGAAATGTTTTAAGATGAAAACACAATCAAAAGTCAGGGTTGAAACCCCACGAAACTTGTCAGATTCGGACCTCATGAATATTAATGAGACAAGCCCCCGTCGTGTCATTGGAGAAGCTGTGAGCCAGGCGACGTTCTATTGGCCCAAATAATCGACCTTCGTGGGTCAGGTCAAAGGTAAGTCTAATTTGCATACTACTGTTCCCGTAGATTTTTACTACGAAGTTATGACTCGTTTTGAAGTTGAAAATAATGGGAAATGGACGAATTCCGTGAGTGTTGCGTGACGAAATATTGTGAAAAACGTTTATTACAGTGTCCTATTTATGACACAGGTTTCGGACCACTTTTCCCAGAACATTCAGTTGATGTGCTGTGTTATTTTAAATATACACTGAGACAGAAACGAACCATCAACATGGAAAAGATACAGAAGAAATGTTTTGAATGCTGCCTTTTACATGAATAGACTGAAATTGAAATATTTTATACATCAGACATTTAGATACCCTCCCAGGTCATGCATTGAACTTACAGTCAGATCCTTGCTAGCAAAATATGTCTGTGGATTCCATGAGAACTATGATGACTTAGGGGCCTGCTTCTGTGTGTGTCATACATGATGTTTCTCAAACATATCCTGAATGAATTAAAAGCAGTGTCTGACCTACCAGCTAAGGAAGGAAGAGTAATTCAGATTTTACATTGGTGGTCTAAAAAGAAACAGTCTTATATAACTCAAATACGTAGTTTCACAGAAGATAGTATCGTTAAAAACCTGTGTGAGAACTGGTCAATTATTAATGAGTTGGAATGTGACAATTTCACTTCTCATTTCCTTCCTGGAAAAGTTGATGAAATGTTGGGAAACTGTTATAAAAGATACAACTTTGCAGTACTTAGACATAATGGATTTGACATTCTGGTGAACAGCAGACTTGATGGTCTTACCTTTGTTGGGAGACTTTACTGGTGGGTCAGTTCCATCTTATCTTCAGGAATTTATTCCAAGCAATACACATACTGGCTGGCCGTTGAGGCATTCAAGCATTTCACATGATATTCACTGATGTAATTGTCTGTTTAAATCAAAATGTAAGTTACAGTTTTAGATATGGCATCAATTTGCAATGACTCTGAGAAAACACTTGACTACATAAAAAGGAACATATTACTGGCTTCCTCACAAATATGTAGCATATGCAATGTTAATATGTTGAGTTTAGGTAGCTTCTGGGAAGGGCAGAGGCTTAGTCTTGGTACTTTCCTCATGATATTGTATCTGTTTTGCACTGATGTACCTGCCCACTAGGCTCTAAAATGCTTGATGTTTGTGAGACAACATTGTTCAATTGGTACAATTTTTCAGAGACTTAATGTCTCGTGCATTGTTAGATGAGCCAGTTATATGAGGGGGGTGTTGGCCATACTGTGGAGATGGATGACAGCAAATGGGGTAGAAAGAGAAAATACCACATGGGTTCCAGTCAGGGTATTCCTACCTATTGGTTTTTTGGTCTCATAGATAGAAGCACTAAAAATGTTCTTTTATTCAGTGTTGAGAACAGAACCACTGAAACATTACTACCCATAGTACTTGCCCATGTTAAAGTTCATAGATCATAACTGACGAATTCAAATCATATCCTTGCTTAAAGAGAAATGGTTATGAGCACCAAAATGTTTGCCACAAAAACAATTATATAGATCCTCATACTGGGGCTGACACCAATAACATTGAAGGGTTTTGGGGTAATGCCAAATCAAAGTTTAAATCCATGCATGGTGTATCCAAAGAGCCGCTTGGTGCGCATCTTGATGAACTTATGTTGGAACAACAAGAATGAGTGCATGGCAGATCTCATTAGGAAATACCACCCTTTTGACTAGTTTTTCTGTTTGGTGTTCATAACTTTACAGAAACAGTATTTACCAGTTGTTTGGTAAATACTTTCAGGTCTGTGTTGTGAAATTATTTCCATCACAGTTTTAATTAACTGTTGTGATTTTACCATTCCTTCTGAGTGGCATACAATTCCATTTCCCACAACATGATACAAATGATAAACTTGCATACAGACACACTTAATAAACTGAACCTGATGAAGTGTGTACTTGATACGACGTGTTCTTGATGAGGAACAAATTATAGTTTCATTTCCCTCAGCATGATTTAAGTGATAAGCCTGCATATGGATACACTTAATAAAATCAACCTGATGATGTGTCTAAGGAAATCAACAAGTGCAAATACATTCTTGGTCATTGTGGGGAAATTAAAGTTGTTTTAGTTGAATTTCATGCAGTTTCCGTTATATTATAAAAACAAAAGGGCATTCACAGAATACCATGATAAAAAAGCAAGTTTCTAAAATGTGGGCCCATTTTCTGTTCTTTGTTACACTGGACCATAATAAATGGGCCGACATTTTCAAAGACACTAGTTATTCAGAATACTATTTATGATTAAAGAAAGTACAAATAAAATGATGAGTTTCTAAAATGTGAGCCCACGTATTTTGGAATGACATTATTGCCACTGCATGCACGTGGTTCAATAATATATATGGATGGAAATAATGATGCTACAAAATACTTCCCAATATATAAACTTTTACAATATCTCATGTCACAGGTATTACTTCGTTCGGTAAGTTCAAACTTATCGTGTTGGCACAAGTGGAGCCAAAACAGCAAATACGAAACTAAAGCGCTTAACTTCTAATGCAGGAAACATGCTCAGAGTTACTTCCCTTCATCCAGCCATAATAATGTATCGCCGAAAAAGCTCTTTTAAATATGCTAAAACTAAGTGGTAAGAAACTATAGTCAAACGTTCAGATAAGGTATGAACATTTCCATACAAACACGGTCTGATAAGAGCAAAATGAACACATTCAAGCAAAATGTGCTTCACTGATATTTGACTGTTGAATGGAATGCAATTCCCTTTCCTCGAATGAAGCAATGATTATTCCTGTGCCAAACCAATAAAAAATCCTACTAATTATCACCCTGGAACGTGTGATAAATGCTCGACTCGTATTCTACCTAGAATCGAATCACCTTACCACAGATATCCAGTGTGGTTTTAGACACAAGAGGAGTACCATTGATCATATCGCAAGATTAGATTCTTTTATTCGCCATGGTTTTATAAAATAAAGTAGCATGTAGTTTCTATTTTCTTTTATTTAGAAAAAGCGTATGATCCTGCTTGGATCTTGAAAGATCTTCATGCGATTTTATTGTATGTTTTTCAGAAGATTGACAGTTATATGGTTAGAGTTGGATAAATGGGTGTTCCGCAAGGAGGTATTTCCGGTATCACAATAAGTAGTTTGGCAACAGTTTTACATGACATCATTAATGGCTCTCTTTATGCAGATGATTGTAACACGACATGTCGTGGTTCCAACATGAATGGCATTGAAAGACAATTGCAGTTTTCCAAAGCTAAATCATGTTGTGTACGTTTTTGTAACAAACGGAAAATACATATTAAAGACCCAAAGCTCTTCCTTAATACAGCCCCCATTAAATCGTTAGGAAGCCGTAGACGTAAGCATCCTTTCTTAGCTGAAATATTAAATCATCATCAAGACATATGGCTGGGCATAAGAGGTAACACCATAACTGACGCTGCAGCTAAGACTGCACTTAACAAGTCAGTTTCCATTCCAGTCCCCGTTACTGTCCTTAAACATGCAATCCGACAATATGTATCTGTTCAGACTTCAGAGGCAGCAATGTTGGAATCACCCAAGTGACAAATAAGCTTTGTTCCATTAAACCAAACATAGGTCAGAATCATTTAACAGGACTTACCCGGCAAGATGGAGTGTTAATACGGGGATGTACATGTATAGGACACAGCTAATATACACGTTCATATTCATTGAAAGGAGAAGATCCACATCAGTGCATCCCGTGCCACAGACGAATAAGTTTTAATCATATTTTACTTAAATGTGTGAATTTTGAACATACCAGACACCAATTTTATGATAATGTTCCTAACATATCAAAGCTTTTCAGAACAGTTTCGAAACATTTGATTTTAAGATATTTTTTACTTTTAAATGTGATATTTGACTGAATTTTGTGATTTTCAACCTCACTTTCATAGTCTAACATATTGTATAAAAATACATATCTCGCCCAAATAGCTGGACGATTGCTGATGCGGCGTAAAACAATGTTCTTTTATTCTTAAAATGCTTAAAGATGCATCGTCCCCTTTTACTAGTAGTAATGGTACAATATTTATGAAAACTGTCATCGACGGACAGAATAACATCTATCAATATATTACAGATTGGTTTATTCAAACTAATAGAATATTTAAAAACTGTCTATTTTGAAGCGATACCTTTTAGAAACGGGCAACATGTCACCAACCATTGAAGATAGATCACCTTACTACGGGCCGTAAGGATTTAAATTCCATATGAGTTTATATACCTACTATATAGTTGACGTCATTATTATTATATTAGAACACACAATATATAATATCAAACTCTCGAATAATTTCAGTTGCTTATATTATATATATATTGTATATATTGTCACTAACTGTAACGCCACACGCATGATGACGAGACCTGTGAAGATCCGGGTTAGAATTGATCTTCAGTAACCCATGCTTGTCGTAAGAGATGACTAACGGGATCTGGTGGTCAGGCTCGCTGACTTGGTTGACACATGTCATCGGTTCCTAATTGCGTAGATCGATG